TGAAAGTCTGTGCCTACATTCAAAACATTCTTCAAAATATCTTCTTTTGTGTTCAACAGAAACAAGAAACAATTCGATAACAGATTTGGAACAAGTAAAATGTGAGTAAATGACAGACGGTATATTTTGGGGTAAACTATCCCTGAAATACATGCTTACATTTAAAAAGACCTTTAGGTTATTTTAGATAACAGTTGTTTTATTTTAAGCTAACATGTGAACTTCTAACTGGAGTCATCCTGGAGTCTCCTGTGGTGAATCCTGCAGACTGGCTGATGAGGAAGACTCTGGTGACGCCTCTTCATTTCTGTCTGGGGTGTGAGGAATTCATTGACACCTCTTGACACAGTTCTAACTAGTGAACCGTTTCGGTATTACCATGGCAATGCTCTCCACTCGGCTCTTATCCAATCAGAGGCATCTGCTGTCACCCGTCTGTCAGACTGCTTATGTTACTGGCCACATGTGGTTTGGCACACGCAGCACCTGCTGAGCTTTGTTGTGCTCATATAGCTCCTTCAGTAGTGTGTATAGTGCTCCTGTATAGGTTTTTAATACTTGGTGCTTCTTTATTCCGCTGTAAATTTGTAAAGCACAGATTTACTGTATAAATTTAGATAAAGTGCTTAGTATAATTTAGCACAGCCCATTTTGAAAATGAATACTTGTATCCATTACGCAATATATAGGCAAAGGTGCATTAAAACTATTAAACAGATATATTTATTCAAATAATATTTTAGTCACCAAACATTTTTAGAAATTGAAAGAAAATACAATTAAATTCAAGCAAATTATTGCAAAAAAAATGCTTCTCTTGATTTTTTTCCCCTTTTTTAAATTTGTATTTAATATTTTTCTATAACGTAAATTTCGGTGTGCTAGTTTTTAGACCCTTTTATTTTGTAAGATAAGTTTCAGCTTTGTCTTCAGCACTGACTATATGCACAAATATAGAATTGTATAGCTTCCTATAAAAATATGAATTTAAAAGAGAGATTTGTGAGTGGTGTACTTACACTATATATGCTGAGCACTGTATATACATATGTTTAAATATGTAACTAATTAAAAATATATGGTTATTTACATCTAGCAATATTAAATTAACAATGAATGAATTTCTATTACATGTCATCATGATTTAATATAGTTACTAGTGATGAATTGGTGAATTTCGGTTATTCATTTACAGGAAAAATATTTGTTTTTTAAAATCCTTTTTTTTTAAGAATTAGTAATTGTTTTATTATTTTCATTTATGGTTCATTTTCTTTTGGGTTTAGTCCCTTTATTTATCTGGGGTCGCCACAGTGGAACGAACCGCCAACTTATCCAGCATATGTTTTACGCAGCGGATGCACTTCCAGCTGCAACCCATTACTGGGAAACACCCATACACTACAGACAATTTAGCCTACCCAATTCCCCTTTAACACATTTCTTTGGACTGTGGGGGAAACCGGAGCACTCGTAGAAAACCCAGGCAAACATGGGGAGAACATGCAAACTTCATTCAGAAATGCCAACTGACCCAGCCGAGGCTCAAACCAGCGACCTTCTTGCTGTGAGGCGATCGTGCAACCCACTTATTTAAATTTTTAGTTTCTTTTTAACTATTTTATTTGTTTTAGTACATAAAATGAAACAAAAACAATTATTTGACATATATCCTTGGCAACCTTTTGTAATAATAAAAAATATTGAATAAAAAATAAGCTACAATTAATAAAAATAGATTATTGTATATTATAAATATTTAATATAATACATTAAAATTTATTAGAAATATAGTTTTTGAAAAAAAAATTTACATTTCAGTTAATGTTTATTTTAGTTCATGTAATTTAATTAACTATATAATAGCCCTGATTTTGAGATAAACAGTATGAAATTAACATTTTCCTTAAAAATTTTTTGTAAATTTGCCTTTTTAATTGTCTTCATTGGAAAATTTAAAAAGAATAAATATATAATTTTTATATTTCATTGCAGTCATTGCCATTTAAAGTTTTGTTGTATACACTGAAAAAAATAGTTAAAGATTATTCCATGGATTTACTCAAATTTTTAAGTTAAATGGTTGAAAACAATTCATTTGGGCTGAATTTAAACAAACAAATGAAGTTGAACATTACTAAATTTAGTTGGTTTGTTTAAATTAAACACGATGGCGCAATGGTTAGCACTGTTGCCTCACAGCAAGAAGGTTGCTGGTTCAAGTACCGGCTGGATCAGTTGGTATTTTTGTGTGGAGTTTGCATGTTCTCCCTGTGTTCGCATGGGTTTCTCCCGGGTGCTTCGATTTCCCCCCACAGTCCCAAGAAATGCGCTATAAGTGAATTGAATAAACTAAATTGTCTGTAAAGAATGAGTGTATTTGGATGTTTCCCAGTACTGGGCTGCAGCTGGAAGGGCATACGCTGCGTAAAACATATGCTGGATAAGTTGACGGTTCACTACGCTGTGGCGACCCCTGATGAATAAAGGGACTAAGCTAAAGGAAAATGAATGTACACAAACAAGTTATTTTTGTTTTAATTTTGCAGTAAACATATGAAGACACGGAATTCAGGGAGGTCAAATGAGGATCACTTTAATTGCACAAGTGGTTGTGTCTCAAGTACATCAGAGATTCTCCTGTCCTGAGCTTACAAATAGCCACATACAGGTTTCTGCTCTTCAAAAACCGACCACCATTTACAATTAGCTACAGAATGTGAAATAATGTACACAGAGATTTTTACAACCGTCCATCTGAACATGATTCGAAAACGAGTATCTGAGTTGTTGACCAGCAGCTTGTAATGAAGCGTCCATCTGAGAGATTGCATGTGTTTATGTAGAACGGAATTGAAAAAATGCTGAAAACATTCAGGTTTTCAATGGCCGACTCGATGGTACAATCAATTGTTTGTTCCTTTCTGATTACATAAGCCTTTTTTTGTGTGCGCCAGTGGCAGTGTGACGCACTAGCTCACAAATGAAACGTCCCTATGCAAAATAACTAGTCTGACCACAATAACACAGAGAGATTTTCCTCTTCATTCACATTTTATCAAACGACAAAAAGAGCGGATGAACAATCGTATGGCATACATAAATAGCTCAAAAGTAAAAGCGTGAAGGAAGCGTCATCTCTAAGCAATCACAAAGTCAACATGAAGTAAACATGTCGTAAATGAGCACAACTGCTGAAGTACAGGTGTAGTTTGGCTTTTGTTTCTGTTCTCCTGTGGGAAAGATTGGGTTTATGTAATCTAATACCTGACAGATGCTCGGGTAATTCGATTCACCTTCCGCTGGCGCTGTCAGAAAAATCAGATCATAACACCAGCAGCTGACCAAACAAAAGCAATTCATCTGATTAAACCTGAAAAGATCCCACAACTGCAGCGCTGTGTTTCAGATAAGAACGTGCGAGGTACAGGAAACCTTTGGCATCTGCGTGGCGATAATGCGAGACAATAGAATTTCAAATGAGAGGGGTAATGAATGACATTTAAAGCGTTCACCTGTACTTAAACAAAATGACCGTCTTTGTGCTTTATTACCTTTGGAAGCGTAAATGTACTTTCCAGAAGCGAGGAAGTGTCCAGTTGTGTTTTCAGGGAAGTCAAACGTTTTAAAAGCAAAAACTCTCCTCAAAGTCTTTCTCTACAAAAACAAAAAAAGCACTTTACAATAAAATGTACAAAAAATATAACACTGTTTTTTTAATCAAGTCTTCGTAACAGAACAGGTTGACCTGTACCAATAGAATTGTGCAAACACATTATTTAGCTACTAACTGTAAAACAAGGTGGTTTTTATACTGGCAAGACGTACCCTTTGGTTGTTGAATGCAATAGCGTACTGCACACTGCCAGTAACTCCTGATTCCTGTGGGTTATTTCAAGCTCATTTTTGTGGGGGAATCTCATGAAAGCATGCCACATTTTACTGCCCGAACTGCATAAAGAAACTGAATTCTGCATGACCATTATCATTAGGGCCCAATCCATATTCTATTTTTGTACCCCTTCCCCTTGGCTCTTGAAACAGAGTGTGAAGGGAAGGGCTTCAAAGTTTACCCCTAAGAAATGGGACACCACTACACCTGCACACGTCATCATATGTCATAGGGAGCTCGTACTACATATGACATTGATGATGGCGACTGCTGTAGTTATTAAAGTTGTGTTATGTTTTTGGTGTTTATTATGTTAGGAAATCACCGAAGGCAACGATACCATGTTATTATATCGATATAATGTGGCAAAAAGATGTAACTGTACTGTGCATTTACACCGTGATCATATTCATTAATGTAAATACACGAAAACAACATTAAGATTATAGCAGACACTGTAAAAAGCTCATTCCCAGCCAATAGACTTTTCTGACAGAGTATTTAAGTGTCATCGAGTGACAGAATGTTGCTGGACTACTATACAGGAGTTATTATTAGGGATTATAGATGGGTTTTTATGTTAGCTGTTTTTATTTTAGCAGTTTTTTTCAAAGCATGACAGTAAAACACAAACGCAGTTATGAATGTATTAACACATATGCCTGTTTGTTGTAGAAAAATTTAATAATGACAAAAATACTAATTTGTGCATCTCCTGACGTCCGTGTGCAGCCATGCTGTCGTTATAGATATTCTGGGAAATGTTCGTACTCCTTGGTTTATAGTGTGGTCCTGAAAAATCTCTGTTTTAAGGGATTTCTAACCCTTCCCCTTAGCCCTACGCCTTCAAGATAAAGAGAATTGGGACACCCCGACCCCTTCACGTGAATGCGCAAAACTTGCATGATTAATCGCAATGCAATCTGAAATTTGGCAATTTGCTAATCACAAGATGCTGCGATTTGAAATATATATGTATTTAATTTCTCCTGCCCAGAGACGCTGTGGCGACCCCTGATGAATAAAGGGACTAAGCTAAAGGAAAATGAATGTACACAAACAAGTTATTTTTGTTTTAATTTTGCAGTAAACATATGAAGACACGGAATTCAGGGAGGTCAAATGAGGATCACTTTAATTGCACAAGTGGTTGTGTCTCAAGTACATCAGAGATTCTCCTGTCCTGAGCTTACAAATAGCCACATACAGGTTTCTGCTCTTCAAAAACCGACCACCATTTACAATTAGCTACAGAATGTGAAATAATGTACACAGAGATTTTTACAACCGTCCATCTGAACATGATTCGAAAACGAGTATCTGAGTTGTTGACCAGCAGCTTGTAATGAAGCGTCCATCTGAGAGATTGCATGTGTTTATGTAGAACGGAATTGAAAAAATGCTGAAAACATTCAGGTTTTCAATGGCCGACTCGATGGTACAATCAATTGTTTGTTCCTTTCTGATTACATAAGCCTTTTTTTGTGTGCGCCAGTGGCAGTGTGACGCACTAGCTCACAAATGAAACGTCCCTATGCAAAATAACTAGTCTGACCACAATAACACAGAGAGATTTTCCTCTTCATTCACATTTTATCAAACGACAAAAAGAGCGGATGAACAATCGTATGGCATACATAAATAGCTCAAAAGTAAAAGCGTGAAGGAAGCGTCATCTCTAAGCAATCACAAAGTCAACATGAAGTAAACATGTCGTAAATGAGCACAACTGCTGAAGTACAGGTGTAGTTTGGCTTTTGTTTCTGTTCTCCTGTGGGAAAGATTGGGTTTATGTAATCTAATACCTGACAGATGCTCGGGTAATTCGATTCACCTTCCGCTGGCGCTGTCAGAAAAATCAGATCATAACACCAGCAGCTGACCAAACAAAAGCAATTCATCTGATTAAACCTGAAAAGATCCCACAACTGCAGCGCTGTGTTTCAGATAAGAACGTGCGAGGTACAGGAAACCTTTGGCATCTGCGTGGCGATAATGCGAGACAATAGAATTTCAAATGAGAGGGGTAATGAATGACATTTAAAGCGTTCACCTGTACTTAAACAAAATGACCGTCTTTGTGCTTTATTACCTTTGGAAGCGTAAATGTACTTTCCAGAAGCGAGGAAGTGTCCAGTTGTGTTTTCAGGGAAGTCAAACGTTTTAAAAGCAAAAACTCTCCTCAAAGTCTTTCTCTACAAAAACAAAAAAAGCACTTTACAATAAAATGTACAAAAAATATAACACTGTTTTTTTAATCAAGTCTTCGTAACAGAACAGGTTGACCTGTACCAATAGAATTGTGCAAACACATTATTTAGCTACTAACTGTAAAACAAGGTGGTTTTTATACTGGCAAGACGTACCCTTTGGTTGTTGAATGCAATAGCGTACTGCACACTGCCAGTAACTCCTGATTCCTGTGGGTTATTTCAAGCTCATTTTTGTGGGGGAATCTCATGAAAGCATGCCACATTTTACTGCCCGAACTGCATAAAGAAACTGAATTCTGCATGACCATTATCATTAGGGCCCAATCCATATTCTATTTTTGTACCCCTTCCCCTTGGCTCTTGAAACAGAGTGTGAAGGGAAGGGCTTCAAAGTTTACCCCTAAGAAATGGGACACCACTACACCTGCACACGTCATCATATGTCATAGGGAGCTCGTACTACATATGACATTGATGATGGCGACTGCTGTAGTTATTAAAGTTGTGTTATGTTTTTGGTGTTTATTATGTTAGGAAATCACCGAAGGCAACGATACCATGTTATTATATCGATATAATGTGGCAAAAAGATGTAACTGTACTGTGCATTTACACCGTGATCATATTCATTAATGTAAATACACGAAAACAACATTAAGATTATAGCAGACACTGTAAAAAGCTCATTCCCAGCCAATAGACTTTTCTGACAGAGTATTTAAGTGTCATCGAGTGACAGAATGTTGCTGGACTACTATACAGGAGTTATTATTAGGGATTATAGATGGGTTTTTATGTTAGCTGTTTTTATTTTAGCAGTTTTTTTCAAAGCATGACAGTAAAACACAAACGCAGTTATGAATGTATTAACACATATGCCTGTTTGTTGTAGAAAAATTTAATAATGACAAAAATACTAATTTGTGCATCTCCTGACGTCCGTGTGCAGCCATGCTGTCGTTATAGATATTCTGGGAAATGTTCGTACTCCTTGGTTTATAGTGTGGTCCTGAAAAATCTCTGTTTTAAGGGATTTCTAACCCTTCCCCTTAGCCCTACGCCTTCAAGATAAAGAGAATTGGGACACCCCGACCCCTTCACGTGAATGCGCAAAACTTGCATGATTAATCGCAATGCAATCTGAAATTTGGCAATTTGCTAATCACAAGATGCTGCGATTTGAAATATATATGTATTTAATTTCTCCTGCCCAGAGCAAAAGCGTGACTGCCATCTGTGTGTGACAGTCTTACTAGCCAATTGAGTGAGGACACATTCATTCTGCCCAATCAAAATTGCGCAACCGCACTAAATGGAACACCCACAATAATAAAAACAAGTGGGATGATGGTGTTTACCGCTTCAGAAGTATTAACAGACGAATTCATATCAAAGAAAAAACACACGTCAGTAATATGGAATATTGTGGTTTAAAAAAGCACCACAGATGCGTATAGGTATATGAGGAGTGTCTTGCTAAAAAATCAACTGATAGTATTGCTAGTCACACTCGATCTAGTAAAGTTTATTTATAAACTAATTTCGAGAGGATCATATGTTTATGATTGCTTACAGCTGGTCCTGCATTATTCAATTTATGATTTACCAATTAGACGATTGAAATACCCTAATGTCCATATAACAGCCATCTTCGTTATGAAGAATCCTCCTTTCCACCCCTACTCCTCCTCCTTTCCTAGATGGGTGGCATGGTGGCCCAGCGGTTAGCACTGTTGCCTCACAGCAAGAACGTCACTGGTTCTAGTTCTTACCAAGCCAGCTGTGCATTTCTGTGCGGGGTTACAAGTCTCCCCACACGCTTATGTGGGTTGCCCTGGGGTTCCCGGTTTCCTCCCACCATCCAAAAACATGCAACTTGAGTTAATTGACTAATCCAAATGCTCCTAGTAAGTAGTTATCTCTTAAGAGCAATCACTATCTGTTCATTAGCTACGACAGCAGGGGAGTTCTGGAGATCTACCTGAGCTCAAACTCCCCTCTCGCCCTGCAAACAGGATGGGAGCCCCGGGTTCGAGGAGCTCATGAGCTCAGGGGTCTCTCCCAGGACAGCATGACAAACAAGCTTTATAATCAATCATCAGCTAAGTGTGAACTTTTGAAGTAAATGTTGGCGTAAGATTATATGTTTTCATTTTCTGTTTTTAACTACCACTCACTGCAGTAAGGAGCAACGATAGATATTATTGAGCCGAATCTTGATTATAAAATTAAATCGCAATCACAAAATCTGTAGTAAAATCGCAGTTAGATATTTTCCCCAAATCGCACAGCCCTATTAGGGGTAGAATTGGGATTGGGCCTAAATGTCCATAACAAATGGCGTAAAATAAAAAAATACATATGCAAAAAAATAAAATTCCTGCATTTACTTCCTAAGGAAATATAGATTCTGTTCTTTGTAAAAAAAATTCTGTGAAATGCTCTTGACAAGTTTCATGAGATTCTCCCATGCAACCTTGCATAGTTCCCCCAAAGACAAAAAAAAGCCTGCAAAGCAAAGCGCAAGCGATAATAAAATCCTGCTTTAAAAGCATCTCTCGCGGTGCAGGCAACTTGTAGGCAAATTTCTGAAAATTGAAACATACAAGCGTTCATTCAGAGACTTTGCAGAGTTTAAAATGCAGTTTGCATGTGCCCTTTTGAAAATACTCTAAGGCAGCTTTTGATTTCCAAAGATACCAACATTTTTTTTCGGAAATACCACTTAGGTGTAAAGACTTTGAGCTACACGACCCATATTTCCCTACAGTAGATTGTCTGTTCTGCCTCTTAGGTTTGAAAAGATAGCTTGCCAGTGTCACTCTCGTTTTACAGCATTCTCCATATAGTGCAAATGTTTAATTATTATTCATCCTTTCCTTTACTGCATGGAGCCTCGTCTTTAATGGCAGCTGTTTCTTCAACACTGGCACCAGACGTCATCTGTGTTCATGTTCAATGGCTTTGTTCACTATTAAGAGCCCATGTGACGAGTGCTCTTTCCGTGAGCCTTTCCGCCAATCCGCCTTTGGCTGATTGCATCTTATTATGAGCTTGGATTGTGTTAACAGTAGAGCAAGTGTGCTGGGAGTTATTATTATTATTACTACATACAAAAATGACCCATGGAGTAAAACAGACCTGGCCAGATCTAAACTAAGCTCCTCCAGTGTATTATGAAAACATTCACATTGCGAAAGACTGGTGATGACAACCGCCATCTGCTGTTTCTCACCCTGAAGCTTTTACAGTCCCCCGTTGACACCACTGTGAAAACCGATATAGCGCAACAGTTTGTGTTTGCGTAAAAACCCACCGGCCCTTGGATTTCTGTTGATATAAGGGAGTGGAAGAAACTAGATTTGCCCTTGAACAATTCGTACATACAGGTAAAGCTCATGGTGTTCGTTGATTCCAGCAATGCTAAAGCAGGAAGAGTGCATTGAAAGATGACCTCACATCATGCTTTTTCGGTGGTTGGCTTGTTGAGGGCTGTTCAGTTTGCCGTTCTGTGTTGGACTGATTGTGGCAGAAGAGTCAAGCTGCTTGTATAAAGCTCGGAGTTCTTTCACTTCCTCCAAGACGTCCCGAGCCTGACCCCATGTAGATGCGGCCTCTTCTAGGAGCCGCTCGGCCTCTTTCCGCTTGCCCTCAGGACTGGAGCTCTTCCCAGCCGGAGAGCCCTTTCCTTTGCCCTGCGCCCGCACCTCGGTCAGCAGCTCCTGAGTTCTCTCCAGCTTCAGTGTGATGAGGTCCTGGAGCTGGCTGATGGGCTGCACGGGTGCAGACGTGGAGCAGTGAGGAAGAGCTCGTGCCTCGCAGTGCGTTAGAATCTCGTCCATGGAGGCACAGCGGTTCTTCTCAGATGTTGTTGGTTTTTTGCGGAGCTGTGGCGTCCGGTGGTTCTCCGACCAGTCGAAGGCGCTTTCGCTTTTCCGCGGCAGGCTTTGGGACTTTCCTGCAATCTCGTTGGAGCATGACAGCTTGGAGGTGTCCGTGTTGGAGGGTTGGGAATCTGGGGAACGCTGAGATGAGGCTTTATCCACAGTATCCTCACCAGAGGCCTGACCCTGTTCTGCTGGGACGTCCTCCTCCTGGATGAGGTCCAGCGTCAACATGCCGTCTGAGTTTGTGGTAGAAGCCTGAAAAGGTTGATGAGAATTAAGACAGGGGTCTTTTGGAAGGTTTAATGTAGAAATCAAACCTACTAGTGTGATATGGTAAGCTTAAAAATTAGAGATGCATGATATGAAAGATTTAAACCCACACCAATAACTGATAATTAAGACCAATTCCAATATAAATACAGTTAATCACTAAGTACAATGTTCATATAATGTACTGTTTGTGCACCCATACAAATATAAACTGATATTTTAGCACCTCTGGCTAAACTATAGTGAACCTCAGTCCTCACTACTTGAAGATATTTTAAAGATTTTTGTACTGACTTATTATTAGATATAAATGGGACCAGGGACTATGGACTGCAAATTAGTCTTCGGTTAAAAGTCTAAATGTGGAGCACTGGCTACTTGAAATTGTAGCAATGTTATACTGCATTGACCATGTTAATTAAACTAGCTAGCTCTCTGCAACTCTCACATGGTCGCCAACTGAAGCTAAGCAAGGCTGCACTCGATCAGTTCCTGGATGGGAGACCACATGGAAAAGCTAGGTTGCTGTTGGAAGAGGCCAGCAGGGGGAGCTGAACCTGTGGTCTGTGTGGGCTCTAACGCCCCGGTATATTGATGGGGACTCTACTGCTCAGTGAGTACAGTCTTTCGGATGAGACGTTAAACTGAGGTCATGGCTTTCTGTGGTCGTTAAAAATCCCAAGAATTTATTATTATTATTTAAAACTGATTTTATTCACTAAATAAACAATAAGAAATATGAATTATTATGACTCCAGAAAAAATATTTTTTAGGAAACACTGTTAAAATTTTCAGAAACATTATTTTAAATGAATGGGAGGGCAAAATAAATTGATTTCAACTGTAGGCCTGTCTGTTAAAGTTTACAGGTGCAACAATGTACCATGTACTTGAATGTTAGAAATGTTATCCTACACCAGTACAAATTGTCAAGTAAATTAACAAGGAAGATTATTTTGAGTTTAACTTATTTAATTATCTTGTTTATGAAGACTGCAGAGTAATGCATGAAATAAATGACTTTGAATTATTTTTTTTAAGTATTTTGTGATATACAAGTTAAAATGTGCTCCCAAAAGTATGTGGCCCTTTCCCGCCCCCCACAGTTTAGTAGCAAGCGAATGTTATTTCATATTGCAAATCTTAAATTCATGCTAACCAACAAATGATCAAAGGAAGTAAATTAACGTATTTCAAATATACAATATATGAATTGATGTTTACTTGAAACTTAAATTATATTTTTCTATTAAAATAATTTTTTTAAAGATTTTGTCAAATAAAAGATTTTTCTAGGGTCATCCACCATAATTTTGTGGCTAAAAAGGTATCGGTTCAGGGATCATTTTAAAAGTATCGATTTAGCACCGGTATCGAAAAAAACCCAAACGATACCCAGCCCTACTCTTCAGATTCCACCAAGACAGTGGTGGAAAAAAAACAATAAAATCTGCTATGACAGCAAGCTATTTTAGAGGTAATATTTGAGCATATCAACTCATGTACACTGTTATATTTATTTTTTATAGGAAGCTTTTTGGTTTTGAATATAAAGAAGGATTTGTTTTATTTGCTGCTAAGCAGAAACCCCAGAAGTATAGCTCTATCACTGTTTAAAGTAAAAGAAAAAAAACAAGATCACACTTTTATGTTAGTTTTAATACATTACAAAATTAAAATCAGATAAATCCTCTGTCTTTTTTCTTTTTTTGCTGTATCATAAACACACCGAACCGTGACACCACTGTGTCGTATCGAACTGAACCATGATTTTTGTGAACCGTTACACCCCTAATAATTACTAATACTACTATTTAGAAATAACTACTAAAACTAATATTAGAATTAGGCATATAAACTCAGTCACATACTTGTCAAATGCGTAAATAAAATGTATTGACATTTATCAACTTAGAAAAAATGTAAGTAGTAATAGTCTCAAAAAAGTGCCTCCTTAAAATTATGTATGGCGTATTTGAGATCTGTCATAAATGATTTAGTTTAACAACGTAGCCTCTGCTTTTTCACAATCAATTCTCTTTCTCTTTTCATTCAAAACTTTTACAAGTCCAAGCTGAAGATAGCAATGGCACTGTTTTTCGCTGAAAAGAAACATGTTCAGGCCGATGGAGACTTGCTTACAGATTATGACAAAAGCAGTCAATTGCACTGGAAATCTGGATAATTCCTGGATGGGTCAGACTGATTTGTTGATCTTTCCAGCAAGTGCACTTTAACAAATATTGTTATTGGGTTTTATTTATTTATTTATTTTTAGAAGAAATAAAAATGATGTAACTTTTACTCATATTGCCCGATAATTTTTCTGACTGATAAATGTCATGCATCCCTATTAAAAACGAAACCCTTAGAAACCTAAATTGTCTTCAAAGTGAAGTATGAAAGAATGAGAGTATTTTCTAGGACTCTTTTGAATGTATTATTTCAGTCCTTTCCCATTTCCCAACAAGCCTTTCACATGTAATGAGTTGACATCCAGAGCAAATGGACTGCTTACCACGGCCATGAGGTGCCCGCGGGTGGGCAGACGGCGAGTGTGGGGTATTTTAGCTCTGTCACGCGTCGGATGGGCCAACAAGCTGTCCTCTTCCACCGTCACCTAAAGGGGTCGAACAAAGAGAGCTGCAATGAAGCCCAACTGAACAACTCGGTCACATGGAAACTATTAACAGCTACATGTTTCACACCAGCCTACAGGAGCAGGAGTGCTATATCGATTGGCCAATCAATGAGTCTGTGTATTATTTGTTTATTATGAACATGCAAGCAGATCTACGCAAAGATGGCTGTACAAGCTAGAGGAAATAATCTGAGAATTTGTTACGGCGGAAAAATAATATGATTCATCATATGTGTGAGCAGAGACTGTTGTTTACTAGAAAGCTTAAACTGTAATGCTTGTTTGCTGGCCAGAAGTGTATGGCTAAGCTTACAATGTTTTCCAAGGGTTTATGGGCTAAGGGAGGGCTGCTACACAAAGCGTTTGTTTATGTAAGTCCTCTGGTTCTGCTCCCACCTCTCCATGTGCGAATACATCTACACTACCTGACAAAACTCTTGTCGCCTATCCAAGTTTTAGGAACAACAAATAATAACTTGACTTTTAGTTGCTCATTTGGTATCAGAAGTGGCTTATATGAAAGTCAAAGGCCTCTAGATCACGCTTATTTTGCCAAAATAAATGATCATGCCTTGATTTTTAATGATTTAATTAGGACAGTAGGGTCTGACTTTGTGAAGACAAAAGTCTTGTCACTAAACAGAAATGATGTAAATTACAGAATATAAAGTCATGGTGCAGTGGAAAAAGAGTTAATATTGTGTATGACTCCCATGAGCTTGGAGGACTGCATCCATACATCTCTGCAATGACTCAAATCACTGATTAATAAAGTCATCTGGAATGGCAAAGAAAGCTTTCTCGCAGGACTCTCTGAGTTTATCAAGATTCTTTGAATTCATATTCAATGCCTCCTCCTTCATTTTACCCCAGACATGCTCTATAATGTTCATGTCTGGTGACTGGGCTGGCCAAACCTGAAGCACCTTGACCTTCCTTGATGTAACTTTGATGTGGAGGCTGAAGTTTGAGAAGGTGCGCTATCCTGCTGAAGAATTTGCTCTCTCCTGTGGTTTGTAATGTAATGAGCAGCACAAATGTCTTGATACCTCAGGCTGTTGAAGTTGCTATCCACTCTGCAGTTCTCTCGCACGCCCCCATACTGAATGAACCCCAAACCATGATTTTTCCTTCACCAAACTTTACTGATTTCTGTTAGAATCTTAGGTCCATGTAGGTTCCAATAGGTCTTGTGCAGTTTTTGTGATGATTGGGATGCAGTTCAACAGATGATTCATTGGAAAAATCAACCTTCTGCCACTTTTCTTAATGATCAACTAAAAGTCAAGTAATTTTTTGTTGCTTCTAGAATTCAGCTTTTTTAGAACTAGGATCGCCGACAAGACTTTAGGTATGTATGTCAGATAGTGTACAACATGAAACTATAAGGATGCTAAAGACTTCAACCTCATGTGCCAGTCACGTGTGAGCCACTTCAGGCCAGATTCATTTGCATAACTATTAGTAGCAGGCTACCGTACAGCTCGGGAATCTACGTGGAGCGCACAATGTAAATCAATAAAAATCACAACAGAAAAAAAACACTCTGATTGAAATGGACTAATGCGTATATACCTTTAAAAACTGTCTTGGTGTGTCTGAGAAGCAGATAATAGGCATTTCGTAACACTCAAATAGATGAAAAAGGTTTGTCTGTAACTGACAGGGTATCAACGAGCTGCCACAAGTAAACAGTTGCAAAGATGATTTGTAGCGCAACCACGTACAATTGATTGCTGATTAGTTTATATATGATACACTAAATCAATAGAGATCAATAGGAATCAGGCACCCTTGCCCTAAATACCCAGAATATATTGCACTGTTGCGACACATTCCGATTCTCTATTAGACTCACCACCTTAAACCTCACTCTCATCTGGGTCATGGCACCAATGTAACCCACTGGTTCAACTTTCGCCCCTTCAAAGTTTGATTCAAACCAGTACCTCATGTATAAAACGTGGGCGCACTAACACGGTTGCTAGTGCACTTTTGAAAAATATAGTATATATTTGTGTATCATGTTGCTTGTAGCTGGAGAATACATATTCCCTAAGTCTGGTTACTAAACCTGCCTACACATTTCTCACACTTTAAACATGCAGCAGAGCTTGGCACTGAATAAGCAGTGCTCTGACATGGTATTTGCAAAAACCAAACCAGCCTGATCACAAAAAGAATTGGATGATCTTAATTTTTTTTTATTATTATTATTGTATATATATTTTTTTAAAAGCTAAAATTGATCAGACTTTTAATTTATGTGTTTGCACTTTTTTTAGCACACTTGCCCATCTTACAGACATATGCGAGTCAGTGGCTGATCACCTTGCACATCCTATGGTTTCAATTCTGCAACCCTTCAGAATAGTCTGCACATGCGTGTTGACATTACATATAAAACATAAATCATTGTCAAATGCAATCGAAAGCTTGTCAACTGGAGTCGCATTAACTTTGGCTTAGTGTAAGAGCCATAATTTGATTTAATACAATTTATTAATAGTGCTCAAATACATGTAGAGTTGTTGATGTTGATATGTTTAGTTGTACATCCGCTGATTCCACCCCTACTCCTGTTTGTGATGGTTTGCTCTGCCTTTATTAGACTGTTTTAAGTTATATTACGAGATGCAAAGAAAGAAAGAAGCAGCAGTTTTTTTACCGGGGTTTATTGATATACAACATGAGAATTTAGTAAACACCTTCAATTGGAAGGAAACCTGAGTAAATTTATTGCCTGACTGGTTTCCTGAAATTTCTGACAGTAACCCTTAGCAAAATTTAAATGTGAAATCCAGTCGTTCCAACAGAAACAGATACATCTCAGTACCTTTGACAGTGGACCCAAATCTTGCCTCTTTGTGTGATTTTTCTTCATTGAATGAAAAGAAACTGGGATCACCTCGGTAGTTTTGTGCTTGAGTGGCTCCAAGTGGTGTTTACTATAACTTCAGCAGCTCCAGACACGTGAACAAAAGTGTCAGTCTAATTGGTGGAGAAGTTTTTGATGCAGTGTGTTAAAACAAAAAAAAAATCGAATGAACGAAAAAACAGAACGAAACGGAACAAAAAAAATGAGAGCAGCGCCTTTTAAAAATGCTGATTTTTCACCTGCCGTTTTGTTCATTGGTATGTATGGTCACATTAGTGCCCTTTTTTTAGTCACGAGGCGTTAACTGTCATCGAAAAACGCAAGCAAAAAGAAAAAAAATTCTTTCTTCTCTTGAACAGTAACCAAGACATTTTAAAGAAAGCTGAAAACCTTTAACTACCGACTCCAATAGTAGCAAAAATAAATACTATGTAAGTCAATTGTTACAGGTTTCCAACATTCTTCAAAATGTCTTCTTTTGTATTGAACAGAAGAAAGAAACTCAAACAGGTCTGGAACAAGTAATGGGTAAGGCCCAATTGACATGCCAGTCACATGTAACTCAATTCTTATATTTTGCTCATATGTGACAGATCGGATCTGTTCTATGACATTGTGTAAACACGAAAAAAATGCATGCATTCGGATATTCAGAGATCGATTTCAGGCCTTCTTCATATGTGGAAATAAATCAGATGTGTGACAATGCGTCTGTCATGTAAACAGGCAGATCAGATTTATTGAGGCATTCTGTTTTGTACGTCACTTGCGACAATGTGGTACTTCTCCACGGTTTAATGACGTTGAAGGAAAAGCGTGTTGAGATGCAGATGCGGTAAACATCAACAACAGAGAAAACACGAAAGAGGAAAGTGGTCAGTCGCCACAATTTGCTTCCACAAGACCTGAGATCTCTCTCTTACCCACAAATTCCTCTGTATGGTAGAGGACACCATATATAAACCATACGCGCAAGCCTCCGCCTTAAAATCATTTTAAAGTTGGGTGATCTTCGCATATTTCGCAGAGCTAAAAGCAAGACAATTTCTTCTCCAATCGTGGCTCGTGTGGTGCAGATGCTAGAATCCGCCTTTACGCATGCGCGACATCATAAATTGTATGGCAAGTGCATGAATCAGATATGGGTCACAATTAAAAGAACGTGTAAACTGACAGGCAAAAAAAATCAGATATACTGTAGGCAACAACTCGAAATTGGGTATCAAGACCTGACAGTGTAAATGGGGCCTAAATTATAACAGCTTTTTCCGTTTTAGGTGAACTATCCCTTTAAATTTAACATTCCTTTGTCACATTCCTTTACCACATAGTTATTTATGCCATTTTCAACTGTGTATTGTAAAATGATGTACTTCACAAGGTTTACTTAAACATTTTTGACCATTGTTAGTCCCCATAATCTATTTTACTTGTATACCAAACTAGGTCTGAGGAAGATCTGTTGGGCTGCTGTGGTGTGCTGATTCATTCCATTTCAAGTGGTATGAGAAAACATGCCTGTCTGTTTAACTCCGCTAGCTGTAGGGGTTGAAGCACACCACAATCACATGTGAACAGGAAAGCACACAGTTTCTCAGATATATTTAAATTAATCTCTAGTGTACATTGAGTGTGCTTTCTCATATTTAGCCTGCCTCAACCGTTCCTGTGTATGTTTTCGGTCGCAGGCTGGATTCCCACAACATGTGCGGTGTTAAACTGGAGGAAGCTGACAGCATGGACGGTTCTACCAGATTAAATGTTGTTCGTTAGCTGAAGGTGAAGGTGAAGCTAGGCTCAGATCTAACTGCTTTAACGCTGAAAGTCGTGACTGCCATCTATTTTTGGTGGAGTGATTCATTTTCTCCCACTGTGTGCCGAGTGTGATTATAGACCCGCTTTTAAATCGAGCAAATCCTTGCGCAAACAAACTGAGAAGATCAGGGAAGGAAGAGAGGTTGGGCGATTACAAGATTCTCCAAGGATCTGTAAATGACAGTCTGGATTCTGATCATTATATATATATATTTTAAAGTACATTTATTTTAAAGAAAATGTTGTGCTGCTAAGGAGTTGTGGGTGGTTGCTTGAAAATTGCTATGCAGTTACAAAAGTGTTCAGAGCTTCTTTTTGTTCATGTTGGTTGCTGTGTGTGGTTGCAAGGTAAATGCACACTGGGTCAAGTTTAAATTAAAACAAATAAATACCCACAACCACCATGCTAATTCGAGCATCATTATGCAGTTACACAGGTGCTCAGGCTGTTTATGGTTGCTGTATGGTGTTTTGGATGGTTACTAGGTGAATACTCAAAGAACAGGAAGGTCTAGTGGAAAAAAAGCCTTTAAATGTTATAAATAAATAATTCATTCGTTCATTAATTTTCTTGTCGGCTTAGTCCCTTTATTAATCCGTGGTCGCCACAGCGGAATGCACCACCAACTTATCCAGCAAGTTTATACGCAAACACAGAGAGAACATGCAAACTCCACACAGAAACGCCAACTGAGCCGAGGCTCGAACCAGCGACCTTCTTGCTGTCAGGCAACAGTACTACTTACTGCGCCACTGCTTCGCCAAATAAATAATTTAGTTTATTTTAAAATTAATATTTTAATATAATAATTTATATGCACAAACACACACAAATATATATATATATATATATATATATACACACACACACACACACACACACCGGCCACTTTATTAGGTACACCGTACTAGTGCTGGTTTGGACCCCCTTTACCTTCAGAACTGCATTAATGCTTTGTGGTATTGATTTAACAAGGTACTGGAAATATTCCTCAATGTTTTTGACAAAATAGAGTTACTGCAGCTTTGTCAGCTGCACATCCATGATGTGAATCTCCCATTCCACCACATCCCAAAAGAACTCAATTGGATTGAGCTTTGATGACTGAGGAGGCCATTTGAGTATAGTGAACTCATTATCATGTCAAACCAGTCTAAGATGATTCAGGCTTCATGACATGGCACGTTATTCTACTGCAGCACTGATGCACTGTGTTAATAAAGGGATGGACATGATCAGCAACAATACTCAGGTAGGGTGTGGCGTTGACATGATGCTCAATTAGTACTAATGGGCCCAAAGGGTGCCAAGAAAATACCCCCCACAACATGTAATGTAATGTGTATTTATATAGCGCATTTATTGTGTATGACCATACACCCAAAGCGCTTTACAATCATGTGGGGGGGTCACTGGTCACCACCAGTGTGCAGCATCCACTTGGATGATGCGACGGCAGCCACAGGACAACGGCGCCAGTGCGCCCACCACACACAAGCTATAGGTGGAGTGGAGAGACAGTGATAGAGCCAATTCAGAAGATAGGGATGATTGGAAGGAAATTATTGTAAAAGCCGGTTGAGGGACTTTGGCCAGGACACCGGGGTTACACTCCTGCTCTTTACGAGAAGTGCCATGGAATTTTTAATGACCACAGAGAGTCAAGACCTCGGTTTAACGTCTCATCCAAAAGTCGATAGACACCACCACCACCACCAGCCTAAACCTCTGAAACAAGGCAGGATGGATCCATGCTTTCATGTTGTTGAGGCCAAATTCTGACCATCATTCCCTACCATCCGAATGTCGCAGCAGAAATCGAGACTCAACAAACCAGGCAACGTTTTTCCAGTCTTCTATTGTCCAATGTTGGTGAGCCTGTGTGAATTGTAGCCTCAATTTCCTGTTCCTAGCTGAAAGGAGTGGCACCCGGTGTGGTCTTCTGCTGCTGTAGCCCAGCTGCCTCAAGGTTCGATGTGTTGTGCGTTCAGAGATGCTCTTCTGTATACCTCAGTTGTAACTAGTAGTTAATTGAGTTACTGTTGTATTTCTATCAGCTTGTACTAGACTGGCCATTCTTCTCTGACATCACCAACAACCATGTCACATTCAAAGTCACTTAAATCACCTTTCTTTCCCTTTCTGATGCTCTGTTTGAACTGTAGCAGATCGTCTTGACCATGTCTACATGACTAAATACATTGAGTTGCTGCCAAGTGATTGGCTGATCAGAAATATGCGTTAACAGGTGTACCTAATAAAGTGGCCAGTGTGTGTATTGTAATTTTGTGTATTGAGTAATGCAAGTACTGTAAAAAAAAAAAAAAAAAAAACCTATAGTTTATTTTTTAGTTCCTAATATGGTACTTATAAATGTATACCTCATATATTTCAAACATTAAAATTAATTTAATTGAATGTCCTTACACATAAACTCATACATTTTATGGAATAGATCAGGTTCAGTTGCTTTGTGTGACTGAAATTGCATCCTCGTATTGTGCTTTGCATAAAAAAATTGATCAGCTGACTTTTACCTTGCTTTTTACATCATATTTTGCCTTCAAACCAAATTCTCAAATATAGTGGTGTAGTTTAAATGCCTTCTGGCTACTGTGCTTCAACATCATGTGCTTTAACGTTTAGGAATGCAGTCAGTAGGAGGACAGTTGGTTGTTGTTGTTGCCATTGCAACCACCATTCTAAGATGTTGTGTGTGGCTGTCTGTGCGTTGCCAAGTTTTCTAAGTATTTTAGTACTTTGCTATGTAGTTGCTAGAGTGCTTTGAATGGTTGCTACTGGGTGATTCCTTACCGGGCAAGGTTCAAAAGTCCTTGTGATCATGTAGTGTGTTGTGGACTGTAAGCTGAGCATTGTTATGCAATTAAAATATATTAACGGTATGTCTAAAAGTCAATGATGTATAAAACCAGCAATTAACTTTTACACATTTTAAAGTTAAACCTTTGGTAAGGGAAGGTCTGGAGCACTCAAACACCATACTAGGTGTGTGGACAAAATGCAAATGTAGTAAAAAAAATTCAGCCTAACCTGCTTTATTGAGCTGAAGTTGCCTTTATATTCACATTGGTTCATTTTTGAACAATGACAGCCTTCCCATACTGTTTACCCTGCTACTCTGAATATTTGCTCTGAAATAGCATGTAAGTATGGCTTAGTAATAAATGTAATTCCTGCACGCCGCCGGCTAAACACAAGCTAAACTGGCGAATGACAGGAACTAGTGGGTTCACACTATCACAGTCCCTCGCCACCGTCCAAAGATAATATGCTAAGTGGTTAGCATTTTGGTAGATCACCTACTGCACCTTTAAGTTGTAAATATACCACTGGCCTGGGAGAAAATACAGCAATAACAAACAGGGGGAAGGTTTGTGTAGCTCACCTCATCCAATATGCGATTCTTGGCCCTGGTAATGGCTGCATTTAACGCATTGATCCATGACTCCTTCTCCTCTGGACTGACGGCTAGAAACACCAGATTTGGGACCTGCATGCAGAGGATGAGAGATGCTTTAATATGCAGAGGATGAGAGATGCTTTAATATGGAGTCATGCAGGTTACAAAGCAAACAAGCAATTCCAGCATTATGGATGTAACGTTTAAGGTAAAATCTCAAAACATAAATTCACATAGAATGTATGTTACCACCATATGAAAGCATCAGTTTATATTTCCCAAAACAACTAAACGTTATGGATCAGAAATATATCAATCTGTAAACATTTTTTGTATTGTGAAATGAAGAAATTAAACATGCATAACGCATGTGATCAAAACAGTTTGCGAGGTTCAGTATACAAAATACATTGTAGAAATTCTGTGAATTAAAGTGCACAACCCAAAAGAATGAAGCTAATTAAAAAGATAAGAGTTGGCTCACTATAAAACAAAAATGATTGATTTTATTTTATCTGACATTTCTGAGGAAAAAGTTTCAAATGAGGAAGAAGCTTCGTTATGGATGTGACGTCTCTCTGTTAAGAATGTGACAGAAGTAAAATTGCCACTTGTATGACTTTGGTAGATCAAATATTATTGTATGAAAACCTTGATCGAAACATTTTTGAGTATTTTTACCAAGCAGCAACATCCCACTCTCCCTTGGGAAGCTAATACAGAACTGCAATTCATTGAAATTCTGCTAGTCCTGGCTCCATAATAGAGCAGATATTTATTGACCCCACTGTTAAAGTGACCAACTTTACAGCAGAAAAAAAGGTGTTTACAGCCTGGTACAAAGAACGATTTTGGTGTATAAAGCTAATATCATCCTTCATGACAACTGTGAGGGGGTGATTTGTTTTATAACTTTGTTTCCTTTATATTAAGTTATATAAAATCTGCATAATTAAGGGCGTGGTCACTTGAATGACAGCTAGGTCTCGCTGGTGGCTGTTAGGTCACCTCAGCTGATTCTGGCTGATTTGCTGCTAAACTCGACATATCGTATTTTTGTGTTGTTTTGTGTGGCTTTACACAGTCAGTGGGATTATTTCTTACAATTATCAGGTGATATGGCATGCTGTGTGCACTTAATTGTGCTCACAAGCCATTCCTTTTCCCAGGTGAGTGCAATTCTTATATACTTACTGTATATACCGTATCTATAAATGTATATGTTTTAAGATAATTGATCATTTATAATTCTCTTTAGACCTGTAATGCACTTTAGAAACTGACAGATTGATTAGCTGTAGGCTATAGAACAGTCATCTGAAGCATTGTCATACAGTGTTATGCCTGGATTTCTTCAATAGTCTTGCATTTACTAACACAGACTATATTTGTTTAAGTATTTGGAAGCAATTCGCATTTTTCACCCGTAGAAAATTTTATTACAACGTTTTTAAAAGACTAAACATTTTATTGATATAGTACACAACCAAGCGCATGTGCTCAGAACACAAATGAATCGCAGATAATGAAGTATCTCTCAAAGAAAAATCCAATTTAAGCAAAATTCGAGCAGGAATCTGTAGCTTCGCTCACGCTCCGCCTCTTTGCCCTTTTTTGGTTATGCCTGGTCGGCGCGATGACGTGTGAACAAAATGGTTATGGTTGGCCACACCCACTTGCAGCTTCATTTGCACCTCTAAGAAACCTGTGGGTGACGTCACAGATACTACGTCCATATCTTTTTCAGTCTATTTTTTTTTTCAGTACTGTAAAATACGAGCCTACACAAAAAAGCTTAGAAAGGGTTTCACTAATTTCTTTCATGGCAAGGTTGACATTTGCATGGAATTGTTCCAATGTACAGTTTGCTATATAACCACTTTTGTCCTGAACTCTGCGGGCATTTTATTTTCTGCCTACAGACATGGTTAAAATTCCTTCAGTCTTCTGCTGGATGGACACAAACATGCAGTGAGCCAAGCATAAATGAGCAGGTATGGCCATATGGCTGTGTGTATGGACAGCTGATGCAGCAACAGCATGAGGCTGAAAGCACCATATTAGGCAACAGCACTGCAAGTCTTCCAAAAAGAGTGTGCTGGAGCCTTGACAGGCGGCCCTTCTGTTGATGCTGCAGCTGTGCAGATAACACTCTGCTATGTGCCCTATGCTACGTATCTGTCCTGTTGTTGACATCACTTTGACCATTAAAAGGGGAATATCGTGGGAAACTGACGCCTTGTCTGTCCAGTTAAATGCATTTTTTTTAACAATGCATTAAATCAATTAAAAGTGGGGCGGCACGGTGGCTCAGTGGTTAGCACTGTCACCTCACAGCAAGAAGGTCGCTGTTTCGAGTCCTGGCTGGGCCAGTTGGCATTTCTGTGTGGAGTTAGCATGTTCTCTGCCTGTTCATGTTGGTTTCCTTCAGGTGCTCCGGTTAAACTGAGCTAAATTGAGCTTAGTCTATGAGTGTGTGTGTGTGTGTGTGTGTGAAAGAGTGTTTGGGTGTTTCCCAGTATTGTGTAAAACATATGCCGGAATAGTTACATTTTACATTTACATTTACATTTAGTCATTTAGCAGACGCTTTTATCCAAAGCGACTTACAAATGAGGACAAGGAAGCAATTTACACAACTAAGAGCAACAATGAATAAGTACTAAAGGCAAGTTTCAGGTCTGTAAAGTCTAAGAAGGGAAGTGTTAGTAGTTTTTTTTTTTTTTTTTTTTTTTTTTTTTTTTTGTACAATTAGTGTGATATTCAAAGAGGCAATTGCAGATTAGGAAGTGAAGTGGAGACTAAATAGTTGAGTTTTTAGTCGTTTCTTGAAAATAGCGAGTGACTCTGCTGTTCTGGTGCAGTTAGGGAGTTCATTCCACCAACTGGGCAGATTGAGCGTGAGCGTTCGCGAAAGTGATTTCTTCCCTCTTTGGGATGGAACCACGAGGCGACGTTCATTCACAGAACGCAAGTTTCTGGAGGGCACATAGATCTGCAGAAGTGAGTGCAGATAAGAAGGTGCTAGGCCAGAAGTCACTTTGTAGGCAAACATCAGAGTTTTGAATTTGATGCGAGCAGCAACTGGCAGCCAGTGCAAACGGACTAGCAGCGGAGTGACATGTGCTCGTTTAGGTTCATTGAAGACAACCCGTGCTGCTGCATTCTGGAGCAGTTGAAGAGGCTTGATAGAGTTAGCTGGAAGCCCAGCTAGTAGAGAGTTGCAGTAATCCAGTTTGGAGAGAACAAGAGCTTGAACAAGGAGTTGAGCTGCATGTTCAGATAAGAAGGGTCGGATCTTTCTGATGTTATAGAGTGCAAATCTGCACGATCGAGCAGTTCTAGAAATGTGGTCAGAGAAGTTTAGTTGGTCATCAATCGTTACTCCAAGGCTTTTCACCATTTTGGATGCAGTAATGGTTGCCCCATCCATCTGGATTGAAAAGTTATGGTGTAGAGTCGGGTTGGCAGAAACTACAAGCATTTCCGTTTTTGCGAGGTTCAGCTGAAGATGATGATCTTTCATCCAGTGTGAAATATCCAACAGGCAGGCTGAGATACGAGCTGGAACGGAGGGATCATCAGGATGAAAAGAGAGGTATAGCTGGGTGTCATCAGCATAGCAGTGGTAGGAGAATCCATGTCTCTGGATGACTGGTCCTAGAGATGATGTGTAGATGGAGAAGAGAAGTGGCCCAAGAACAGAGCCTTGAGGTACCCCAGTGTTTAGATGCTGTAGGTTGGACACCTCTCCCCTCCAAGACACCCTGAATGACCTGTCAGAGAGGTAAGATCTGAACCATTGTATAACAGTGCCCGCAACGCCCAGTGACTCAAGCGTAGATAGCAGGATCTGGTGGTTGACAGTGTCAAAAGCAGCTGACAAGTCCAGCAAAATGAGGACTGATGATTTAGAGTCTGCTTTAGCCAGTCTGAGATCCTCCACGACCGAGAGCAGGGCAGTCTCAGTTGAGTGGCCTTTCTTAAAGCCGGATTGCTTGTTGTCCATGAGATTGTTTTGAGTAAGAAAGTCCAGGACTTGATTGAACACTACTTTCTCCAGAATCTTGGCCATGAATGGAAGCAGGGATACTGGTCTGTAGTTTTCAAGTAGCGTATGGTCCAGGTTGGGTTTCTTTAGCAGTGGGGTTACCCTAGCCTGCTTAAATGTAGTGGGGAATAAACCAGAGTCAAGAGATGTGTTAATTATGTGAGTCAGTGTTGGTATGACTGCAGGAGAGATGGCTTGCAAGAGATGAGAGGGAATGGGATCGAGTGGACAGGTGGTTGCATGGCTAGATAGCACAAGTTTGGACACCTCAGACTCAGAGAGCTGAGAAAAAGAGGTGAGTGTGTGTGGTGTTGGTGTTGTATCTTGCGTGTTTGTTGTAGGTGCAGCAAATTGAGCACTGATTTTTGCAGTTTTGGTGCAGAAGAATGTAGCAAAGTCATCAGTAGTAAGTGTGGAGGATGCGGGTGGAGGAGGAGGATAGAGGAGGGAGGAAAATGTTTTAAAAAGTAGGCGAGGATTAGTGGCATTGTTGATTTTCAGACGGTAATACGTCTGCTTTGCAGAAGTAACCTCAGCTGAGAAAGAGGACAGAAGAGTTTGGTATGTTAAGAGATGTGCAGGATTTTTTGTTTTCCGCCAAATTCTCTCTGCAGCCCGAAGTTTTGAGCGATGCTCACGGAGAGCATCTGAGAGCCAGGGTGCAGGAGGACTGGCACGGGCTGGCCTGGATGCAAGAGGACATAATCGGTCTAGACATGATGCTAGTGTGGAGCAGAGTGTATTAGTGGCACTGTTCGAATCAAGTGCAGTGAGTTTGCGAGATGGAGGAAGAGAGTCTGAAACAATGGTGGATAGTCTGTTGGGTGAGAGAGATCGTAGGTTTCTGCGAAAGGTAACCAGTGTTGGAGTGTGTGGCGGCTCAGGAGTAATGTGGATGTTGAGAGACAGAAGGAAATGATCAGATATTTGTAGTGGAGTTACTATTGTTTGATCAGTGAAGCAGTGTCGTGTGTAAATAAGGTCTAGCTGATTACCTGATTTGTGGGTAGCAGAAGTAGGTGCTCTTTTTAGGTCAAAA